GATTTACCAAAGTACATGAACCAGATTTTGATAAGTCGTGAGAAAAGAAGTAAGCAGAGCCATGCTTATAATTTGAGGTGTTTTTATTGATGTTTCAGGCAGCTCTTGAACAGGACATGGCTGTAGGATGACAGGTGGCTGCTGCGCGTCTCGCAGGGCTCTGAAACTCCAGGTTAGTGGTACTGTCGGCCCAGAGCGGAGACAACCACAGCCAGGAACTTCTGCCAGGCCTCCTGGAAACCAGCGGTGAAGACGCTGGGGCCAAACTTGGCAGCCACAACCACTGAGATGCACTCAGCCAGAAGCTGCACGAGATCACAAAGGTTTCATGAATAAAGTTGTCTTTGATGAAACAAAGCCCTGCGCGTCCCGCGGAGCACGATGACCTACCCTGAAGTTGTCGGGATCCACGTGGAGCTTCTCGGAGTGCATCACGCTCAGCTTGGCGTAGGCGTTCTTGATGTTGTCCATGTTCTTCACGGCGGTCTCCAGTCCACCCATCACTACTTTCCCGTGAGCGGCCACTTTGGGGTTTCCGGCGATGGCGGCGGGGGTGGAGAGGTCTCCAAAAGTCCCGAAGTACCTCTGGGTCCAGGGGAACACAACCAGAAGCCTAGAAACAAAACAAGAACCCTTTTTTCTCTAAATGATAGGGAACTAATGATGATAAAAGGATGACCTGGACTGAGCTGGCGGGTTACCTGGTCAGGGCCTGGGGTCCGATCTCTCCCACATCGATGTTGGACCACAGGGTGGTGATGGCGGTGCGCTCGGCGTCTGTCCACTCGACCATGATGAAGGCGTGAAAGGCTCCTGTGACTTCTCTCAAACAAGTTCGCTGATCAAAGATCTGAGTGTAAAAGCGCCTTGATGAAGCCGCTATTTATTGATGAGCGCGCGCTCCGTCCCGCAGCCGAGCAGGCGTCTGATTGGACGGTGCGCTCTTGCCAAAAAAGTGACGTCTAGCAGAGCGCGCGGTGCGTGCGCGACTTGGCACCGGTTATTGCCACTTAATTGTGTTATCTCTATCTAACAGCAGGTGCTTCATCTTTATACTGACTTTCATGTTGTTTTTATTTCATTTCTTCATTTTTGATTGATTATGGAACAGTTTTTACTTTGTTTCTATTTATTTTATTCTTTAAATCTTATTTTGTCGTTCTGTGAGCACACCCTTAGTTTAGTGTTTTACTAATAAAGTGAGTAAGATGTGCTTTTTATGTATGTTTCAGCCAAGTGTGTGATGAGTTTGGTGCACTCTTCAATTTTATTATTATTAGTTTTAATTCTAATGCTCTTCCATTATGCAAGGTTTGTTGATAAATAGGCAAAAATAAAATAAATAAATATGTTATATTGCTTTTAATTGTTTTTGTATATTAAAATAATCAATTTGGACTTTTATTTTGGTAAATCAAGAGTATTGTTTATAAAAGCAAAAAAATATTTCACCCAAAATCACAAATAAATTACATTTTCTGGTAAAAAAAACAAAACAAAACACTGAAAACAGTTTGTTGACTAATTTTGCAAAAAGTCTCACGCAGCACTTTTCTGCAGCCTGCGTAAGATTTACGTGATATCAGAGGAGGGGCGACTTTTATCAAACCGAATTGGCAAAGACTTTTGGCAGACTTGTTATCAGTGGTTCGGCGAGGGTTCGATACGAAGGCGTGGCCCCGTTTGGTTTGATATAAAGACAGCATGACAAACCCACCTCAGCAGCATTTTAAACCAACTTCTCTTCCACTTTGCTCGCTGACATCTAACAGGCAGCCATGAGTCTCAGTGACAAAGACAAGGCCCTGGTGAAGGCCATCTGGGCCAAGGCCGAGGGCAAGGCCGCAGAGCTGGGTGCTGAAGCCTTGGGCAGGTAAGCAGGATGCTCTGCACACCCATCTGCATGTGATGTTTGAGCTCGTTTTCTTTTTTTTTTTTTAATTTGTCTTCCTCATTCAGGATGCTGGTTGCCTACCCGCAGACCAAGACCTACTTCTCTCACTGGGGAGATCTGAGCCCAGGCTCTGCTAAAGTGAAGAAGCATGGTGCCGTCATCATGGGAGCCGTGGGACAAGCTGTCAAGAACATCGATAACCTCGTGGGTCACTTGAGCGGCCTCAGTGAGCTGCATGCCTTCAAGCTCCGGGTGGATCCTGCCAACTTCAAGGTACTGAAACTTTTCTGACAAATGAGTCATTGAGTCGTTTTTTCCCCCCCTGCTTCTCATGGGTGTTTAGGCTCTCCTTAATGACCTCTTTGATTTTCACAGATCCTGGGCCACAACATCATCCTGGTCTTGGCCATGTACTTCCCCGCAGAGTTCACCCCCGAGGTCCACATCGCTGTGGATAAGTTCCTGCAGAATGTGGCCCTGGGACTGTCTGAGAAGTACCGCTAAACTCCCACCGGCCCAGAAGCTCTGACTGAGAACCAGAAGCATCCCAAAACCAGCAGCCTTTCAAATATGTGGAGGCCTGTTCAATAAAAATAAATTTCAAGATATCCAAAGTGTTTTCTTTTCTTTTCTTTCTTATCAAAGAATAACTTAAGAAAGAGCTTAATGGATCTCTATATTAACAGCAGTTTAAAAAGTGTTTAAAGAGGTTTAAGGATAATAAGCAAACATAGCTACTTTAAAAAGCAGTCAAACATACATTTTTTGAAAGTTTCTAAGGTTGTAAACTAAAATAATGTAATGTAATAAAAGCTTTCCATAAATTTCCAGCAATAAAATATAATTGATCTAACAAAATCAAGCATAATATATAGTTAAAATACTTTTCTGCTTGCTTTTACTTKAATACATTTCCACCAGTGAACACKGTGACCCTGAAAGGAAGAAGCAGGTAAAACAAAAGATGGAAGGAWGTTTTATGATCTAAAAACACATTTAAATAAGTACACTTTTATTAAAAATGCAGCTTTAACACTTTGAATAAATCTTTGGGAGAAAAAGTCAAAAGGATCCCTACAGATGGTCTTAGTTCAACACCAAACTGGTCATAAAGTTCTGGCTGATCTGTGTATTTAGTCAATGAGCAGGAGCAGGGTCTCTGCTGCTGCTGCCCTCTGGTATTCAAGCAGCTCAGGTTCAAAGATCAGAAAACCTGCAGCGCCCCCTTCTGGTGACTTAAAAGAATGCAAGACAAGAATTGTTGCGCAAGATGTAAATGATTCTGTATTTGACAATAAAATAAAACGTTGTCTTAAACTATTTATACAAACACACTTAGATAAAAGATCAYATTTCTATTTCCACTTGAAAAAAGTTAAACAGTGCTGCAGATAATTGGTGTCTGCCAGAGTTGTAAAGCAACTAAGGACAAATACTTTGTTACTGTACTTAAGTAGAAAATTTGGTTATCTGTACTTTACTTGAGTAATTATTTTTCAGCCTACTTTTTACTTCTACTCCTTACATTTTTACACAATTATCTGTACTTTCTACTCATTACAGTTTTTTAAAAAAAGGTAATAAGTAGAAAGTCATTTCTCCTATTTCATTTCAGCTTGTTATTGTTTAAAAAATACTATCCTGAAAAACTGTGGCTCCTAGTTAGTGAATTAAATCGTGGTTGGATGAGAAGTATAAATATATACCATTCTGATACTGTATTTAGTTTGTACATAATCCATCAAAGCTGCACACCTTTAGAAAAATATTTTTTGAAGAGGTCCCCTCCCAATAAATGTATTTTGGAAAATCTAACCATTCATTTTTACTCAGTACTTTTACTTTTATTACTTAAGTATATTTTATRTCAGAAATTTACTTTTGATACTTCAGTATAAAATAAATCAGATACTTTAAGACTTTTACTAAAGTAATATTCTTATAGGAGACTTTAACTTTTACCAAAGTAGTTTTATGATAAGATCCTTGTAGTTTTACTCAAGTATCACTTTCAAGTACTTTATACAACACTAGTTTCTGCTGCAGAGACACATGTTGTTGATCATGAAGACAATGGCTGCGTTTGGGTATTTATTCTAGTAATTTCAAATGCTTCTGTGTTCCTCATAATTCAATATATAACTGTAAAATAAATTCACAATCAGTTGTAACTGATGATATTTCTGTGAGACACAACAACAAAGAGAATAAACAAATAGACTGAAAGTGTGAAAAGTTACCAACTTTTTACAGGTTTTATTATGAATCTGGGTTTCCAACTGGTCTTCATCATTATTTTTGTTTATTATATATCCTCACACATGTGGGTCTACTAACGCACAAGTGCAAATATCACAAAAACACATATTCCAATTGGTTTTATGTGAAATCATTTTAAACAATGAAGACACCAGGAAGTGATCTTAGTCTTGCTTTATTTTGGTTCACTTACTTTGTGTCGTGCTCCTTACACATATTTCCTTTATATTAAAGTTCCTGTTTGCTTATTTTTAGATATTTTGATCACGGAGCTCTCCGAGGTGCTGAATGATGTTGTTTCAACAATATGTGGACAAAACCAGCAAGGGGTCAGCACCTTGGAGAGCGACCCACCACCCCTAACAAGGGCTAAATAGAATAAAATATAATAAAAACTTTTATTATTTTAGTGGAGGCAACAACTTTTATGCAATAAAAGTACATTCTCTCCATCAGGACTTACTCTTTTTGATGCTTTACTTAAACTTTAGTTAAAAAAAAAACAGCTAAAATAGTTTGCTTTTTTATTGAGTTCACTCGTGGTTAATAAATTAAAAATAGGACAAAGGATGAGTTTTACTGCTTTGAAAAATAAAAAGAAGGCAGGGATAATTTTGTTTCTCTCAAAGGAATAAGGTATAGAAAAGGTATTAAATTAAACAGGAAACATCAGCTTTGTACTTTGGGTTTATTGATCGAGCTCAGAGTCATCTCATGCTTGCCGCCCCTCCTCCAGCTCTTCATCTGTATTTCTCAGACAGAGCCAGAGCCACCGCTGCCAGGAACTTGTCCATGGACACGTGGACCTCGGGGGTGAAGTCAGTTGGGTACTGGATGGCCAAAACTACCAGAATGTTGTGGGCGAGGATCTGGAAATCAACACAAAATCAAATTCATTACTCCATCTCAAATTTGAACAGACCTGAAGAGGACCTGTTGCTCCAGAAGCATTTCGTTCAAACTCTGAATGTTCACCTTGAAGTTGGCAGGATCCACTCTCAGGGTGAAGGCGTGCAGCTCGCTCAGGTTGAAGAGACCCGCAGTCAGATTGTCGATTTTGCTCACGGCCTCACCAACCCCACCCATGATTGTGGCTCCATGCTTCGCCACCGGAGCGGAGCCGGGGCTCAGGTCCTTCCAGTGGGCGAAGTAGGTCTTGGTCTGAGGGTACACCACCAGCATCCTGAGTGGGAACACCTCAGTTAGGATGGGAATGAACGTTATACGCAACAAACTGCTCAAAGCAGGAGATGTGGATGACGTTTACCTGCCCAGAGCATCTCTGCCGATGTCCCCCGCCTTGGGAGCGATCTTGGCCCAGAAGGCTTTGACGGTGTCCTTGTCCTTCGCAGAGAGACTAGTCATCTTGTTAAGTTTGGTACCGTGACGGGCGAGAGAACAGAGGGTTTTATGCCCGTGACAGAACCCAGACACGCCCAGAACCTCCCATAAGATAAGTGATGAGAGGAGGGGCTCAGGTGATCAGCAGAGATAAACAAAAACTGCAAACAGCTTGAAACCATTAAATCCCAAATTAAAAACACAGAATCTGTCAAACAAATCAGACTGAATTAAATGTTGATCTCATTGGGCTTGAAGTAAATGAACATGATTTAAACTGTTTCTCATTTTTCTGTAAAATGTACAGAGAATTCCTTCAGCAGGTCCTACGATTAAATAAATGTACAAGTAAAATGAGCTAAGCAAAACAATCCTTTTTGTTTAAATCATGTTGCCTACAAAAACTTAAAAACGAGATCTTTCAGCAAATCTAATTTTGACTTTTTATATATTTAATATATATTTATATAAATACAGCTATCAGTATTTGTTACAACTCTTTAAAGCAACCAGGATAATRTGAGATACAACAGCATTTAATTCCCTTTGGGATTAATAAAGTATTATTGAATTGAGTGGAACTGAATATTTAAAAAAACTGCTATAAACAAGTTTATGTTAAAGTACCTGCATGTACGGTTTGTTAGGTTTCATTGATGCAAACACAGACAGAACTCTGGTTTTATCTCAACAGATTTAAAAATCTAAGCTCCACAATCAGGTTTAATTATTAGATTTATTTGGAAGTCTTCCAAWACGCCTCATTAAGTCACTTTCTGCATTTGATGCCAGAAAAGTGTCATGTCTCAAATTCTTATCTAATCCCCTCCAGCAGCTGTGGGGCGGACCCCCCACATGGTGAACTGATAAGGCTTCAGCTGCAGATAATGCTGCATTTCTGAAATCCTGCTCAGAACTGAACCAGCAGGTTCAAAACTAGTTTAAAAAGCCATAAATGGAATAACGAGCACAAGCTCAAATGTTGTCTTGTGTTGCCGACAGGTTAGAGTGAAGGATTGTTGTGTTGTTTTTCAAATCAGAAAACCAGAATGTCTCTTATCGCTACGTTTTGTCCTAAAAACATGAAATTTAGTGTCTTTATTACAAACATTAAAAGTAGCGTAACATAGAGGTGTAGATTTGGGCTTAATTTATCACATTTTTACTGAAAAAGTGGCATTTATCAAACATTTTACATTGAAACTTTAGTTTTTTTTATTCTGCACTTACAGTAAATTGCTTCTTAATGTTTTAACATAAAAATAATTTTAGATGTGTTCAGGGGCAGTATTAAACAGGACGTGAGCCCCAACAAGAGCTAATTTTGGGGTCCCGGTGACATTATTGTTTTTAATCACGTATGTGAATTTTAATTTTAAATGGTGTCAGGAAAGGTTTATATGAATTTGGCTAGTTTGTCTTCAGATTTGGGTCCATTTAAAGGAAAGTGGGTGCAGTTTTTGATTAAATAGTGCAGCTAAAAAAAAAAACATACACATTTTGTGTTGATTGACAGCCATCAAACACAACCTGCACCATGAAGTCCAGTCAAAGCACCGATCCGGTGTTTTATCTCATCAACTCCTCCCAGAAGACAGCAGCTGTCTGCAGGCACCAGCTGCTGCTGAGAGGGTGTTTTTCTCAGAGATTGTGTCCGGTGCAAACCTGCTGCTGCATTGTTTTTTTTTTTTTTTTTGGAAAAACAAGAAATAATGTCAAAATAAAGACAGCTTCTAAAAAAGTTCGACTGGTTTTTGCTGTTATTTTTAGTGCCACTGGGAGACGTTGAGTCTGCTGTTCAGGGATTCAAAAGCTGCTCTAACATCCTCCTCAATACTGCTCTGGCTGCTCAGTTTTTATGGCAGAATTTGCACATTTCTTCCACATATTTCAAAACTGCCCGACATTTGACCCCAAACAAATGCAAGAGAAAACATGTGGTCCACATTTAATAACTGTTTTCTAAAATGCACATATTAGACACACAGTCCAGAGTTTTACATAAATCATCAGAAAAACAAACTACAGAGCTGTGCTGTTACATAAAATAGGTGTGAGATTAAAAATTTTACATGTAGAAAAAAGATAGGTACTTAAATTAAAAACTTCAAAGTTTATCAAAAGTTTCATCACTGAAAAGTGACTATGAAAAACGTGACAAAATCTTTAAAAAGTAACAGACATTTTGACATCGATAGCCTACGCACTTCTGTTCAAGGACTTAGATTTTCAGCATAGTATTTCGGAGTTTAAAATGACATTATTTTAATATTCGTATCTTACATAAACTTTTAAGACTAACTTACTCGTTCCCTGACAAATCTAGCTTCCCAGTCTTGTAAAATTTTTTACAAACACACGTAGCAAAACACAAATACAATTCGATCTTTCCTTCCCGCCAACAAAAAAATAAAAAATTAAAATACCTTCGTGTCTATAAATACAAAAAACTCTAATATTGCAGAAAATAATTTCCCTACTTCTTCACACTGATCCCAGATCTGTGTCACTGAACTGTGAAGTCTCAGAGCTCTGGGAAATAAACAAGATTTTGGTTAAATTTCCAACATGTGGTCAAAACAAGGATTTGTTTTTTTAAAATTTTTTAATTAAATTACTCACTGCCTGGGAGGTAAAAATCATAAAACTTTGAGGTCCTGGATAAAAAGAACAATAGAAAAATACTCTGGCAGAAATAAATCTAGTGTATAAACACAGACATGCTGTTGAGGCGGTGTTATTGTTTAGTAGCACCAATGGGCCAGTTGATGCAAGGACACTTATCTATGAGAGGATTGGCTTCTGTTATTCCGAACGGCAGTAATTATCACACATAATGATGCTACAGTGAAATACATGTTAGGATGAAAACAATGTAGAATAATAATCATCAGTATGGTAAAATTTGGTAAACAGTTTTGACAAACAGTGCAGACAGGTGAAATGTTACATCAGATGGATGATTACACAGACTTATTCATCACACTACACACTTTCCTTCACAAGTAAGCTTTCAAAAAAGACAACTGTGCACTAAAAACTAACATGTGACAAAATGATTAAAAAAAAACGTTGAATATTCAGCTCATTAAAATGTACCGAAATCATTCAGGGTGAAAACATTCCCAGAAACAAACTCRTGGTTTTGGTTTTAAATTACATGGATGAAGAAAAAATGGGTGAAAAAAAAGGGGGTTCTGAGCTGCAGGAGTCTGGTTCATTTCAGTTCACCAGAAGGTGGAGACGAACCCAAGAGTGGAGACTTTGGAGAAACCTACGAAAAAGTAACACAAAATAATGTCAGCTGATAACTATAATGTCAAATAACAAATAATGTCTCAAGTCAAGACAGGCAACTGTTTCGTCAAGTGCCAAGTCTGAAACTTGGAATTTCAAGTCCTTTTGCATCTTTTTTTTTAAACAATGCAGCAATTATATGTTAAATGTAAATCTTCAAACATTGGACAAAGTTGTTGGTCCATCTCCACCTGTGATTTCACTTCTTGCAAGTTTTGCATGTTGCACTTAATTTTTGTTGAGTTTTTCATAGTTTATGTACCCGAGAGAAATTAACTCTTGGGAGTTTTTTTTCTTTTTTTCTGTTTTTTTTTAAATCTAGTTAATTTGATTGGCTGTGCTGCAGCTAGAGGGACTGTTTTTGTCTGTTAATAAGGAACGAGTGAAATGAAATAATGGGGAACACTTTATAATGTTTTAAACTTTTGATTTTGTGTAAAATATCAAGTATTTTAAAGTAAACAAGTTCAATTCAAGTCCCAAGTCATTGGTGTAAAAGGTGCAGGTCAAGTCACAAGTCATAATATTAATGACTCGAGTCCTCACCTCTGGTTTGTCCCATAACAAACACAGATTTATACATAAAGCCATGGATCCTGACAGATACTTATAAGAGCAGTGATATAATCTAATTGTAGTCGTTTAATTCACTGTAAAATTTCCAGGTAAGATAAACAAGCAGAATAAAAAATTAAGACAGACCAACTTTGTCTTGTAAAAAAACATTTTCTTGTAAAAAAAAACTTGTAAAAAAAACTTGAAGAAAAAAAAAACAAAACAAAAAATAAACTTGTAAAAAAACATTTTGTAAAAAAAACATTGAACATTTTCATTTTTGCATATTTTGAAAATATTTCTGACAATAGAATAACATTCAAGTTATTTGATTGCTGTAGTAGATACTACAGCCTTATCAGAAAATGATAAAAAAATTACATAAAATAATGATAATGCTGAATATCTTAATCTTCATATTTTATATAGAATTGTTGTAATATTGCATAATAGTTATCCCTATTTGACATTTGAATTTTAAATAAAGCATTAAATTATTAGTGCAGATAGTGATTTATACTTTCTCTATGAGCATATTTGTTCTCATAAATTTCTATAAATGTTCGAGCTGACAGAGGAAGGCTAGTTTTGTCAAAGCTACGTTTCTGTTTCTGTTGACTCCCTGACAGAGTGCTGTGTTAACTGTATTTTGCAGTACTCACAGGAGACGGGGGCTTGGCGAAGTTGAGATGAGCGTACAGAAGAACGGCGATGTCGTTTTGGCTGGCCTCCAGGGCGATGGACAGAGCAGTGCTGCCGTCCTGCAGGACACAGCGACACGAATCAGGTGAGACGACGGGCACCAGCCGGATTTAGAATACTGACAGGTGGACAAGAGACGCTTACGTTGTCGGTGAGAGTCGCGTCGCAGCCCGGGACAGAAAGAAGCTGGCGAACAATGTCCACGTGACCGTGCTCACAGGCGCACATGAGCGCCGTGGAGCCGTCGTCATCACGTACGTTGACCTGGGCGCCGCAGGACAGCAGCGCCCGAACCATGTCCCCTCGACCATGACTCACTGCGAGCATCAGAGCTGTCTGCCCGGCCTGTGAACACATGGCAATAAAGTTTTTACTTCTACAGCCATAAAAACTGAAACAACACTTATTTAAAGGGATCAACGAGGAGAAGGTAGAAACGACTCAGCCTACAACTGAAAATATGAATGGAGGACAACAGAGCTGCTTCATGGAAGAAGAACCTCAGCTTAGCCTGTTAGCTTTCGCGCTAGCGCTGATACTATACTGCCTTATATGTATTAGCTCGGCACTAGCGCGACAAAMAAGCTAAACTGAGGTCCTCCATCTATATTTTCAGTTGCAGACTGAGTCATTTTTGTGTTCCCCTCTCTGTCATGTGGATGGAGGACCTCAGTGACGAGAGGAGAATGTGTAGCGCTGAGCTAATACATATATATGGTGACAGCGTCGGGGCTAACGCTAAAGCTAACAGGCTAAGCTGAGGTTCTTCTTCCATGAAGCAGCTCTGTTGTCCTCCATCCATATTTTCAGTTACAGGCTGAGTCATTTCTACCTTCTCCTCTCTGTCAACGCTCTCTGGTTTCATTTAAAAGAGACGATCGTCAGATTTTGTCCAAGATTAACCTTCAGGGTGGATATAGCTCGCTAGCAGTCTCTCACCGAAAACCTATTCACGTCATCATTTACCCAGAATGCTTTGCGTGTAAATAAAATGGCCCTGTCCATGTAATATATTTTTAAACTTTTAGTTTAAAAATGATAAAAACTGAACATCCTACAGTACTTTTATGGTCTTTATTTTACAGTTAAAATATATGTTTATTAAATAAAGTCTAATGTTACAACTAATCGTGGATCCCTTTAAGAAACCTCTGTGTACAGAGATGCAACAGAATATTATATATAAAGTATTTTTCTTGTCCAGGAGTTTTGTTCACATCTGAGATGCAGTGAAACCTAACGAGCAGTAGAGGGCGCACCTGGCTGGCCTTGGCGTTGACGTCCCCGGTGCGCAGCAGCTGCAGGACGGTCTGAAGGTCGCTGTCAGAGTGGAAGGCGGCCAGAGCYGTCAGCATGATGGCCGTGTAGCCCGCCTTGTTCTGCTTGTCAGCGTTACACAGACCTGTCAGGTGACGAGGACAATCAGGGTGACAGGTGATACAGCAGCATCAGGGATGTCCAAGACAGATTTATTTTAGAGCCTCGCAAGAGACTGTGGTTAATGCAGTCAATCATATCAAGAAAAATCACAGATTTTATTCACTATAACAAAATAATAACTTCATATAATCCATTCTTTAGCTTTTAGCTAGCGTGTGCATTAGCTTTGTAATTTATCTTCAGATCTCCTGATATTTTTGAACAATCCCGAGGAGCTCACCCGTGTCCAGCAGAAGTTTCACCACCGGGAAGTTAGAGTGAGAAACGGTGTAGTGGAGAGCTGTGTTCCCGTTGCCGTCCGCCATGTTGATCACAAACTCCAGCAGCTGAGGGGAGATGGAGGCGAAGGCGTCCATGTAAGCCTTGACAACAGCTGTGTCGGCCGCTTTGTGGCAGGACACACGCAGCCACTCCTGCAGCACGGTGGTGTAGGCCGCCCTCTGAGGTCGGACACAATGAGGWCACTCAGAGCAAACAAACACTTAGACTGCTGGACAAACAGAAACTCAGCTCTGTCCTGAACTCATGAGAAAGCAAATCAAAGCAAAAACAGGATTTGTTGGAACTAGGGCTGCACGATATTAGAAAAAAACATGACATCGCATTTTTTTCTAACCTTGATGAACAAACATATTGCGATATGAAAAAATACAGCACTTTTCAACAGATGACTTGAATAACATCCTGCGCTGAAGCTTCACTGATCTTACCTCTTTATTTATGCAYGTTACAAGTATGTTTATTGTCTGTATTTGACTTAKTCTKATCTTTYATTGTGTTGGGACCTGAGTGCATGTTGCAAATGTGAAYTGCGTTTTACCACCTAACACGTTTCCTCTGTGTCTATCTTAGATTCCATTTCCGTCACACTATGTTACCTCTTTTCCTCCAGTTCTTTATGATTTTTGCTCATCTTCCTCATTTTTGTCAAGATCCTTTTCATCTTCCTCCATAACTCGAGAATTAACAGACATTTCTCCAAAAAAAAAAAGTTGCCGTTGTTCCAGAAGTTTCACAACTAAGTGAAAGTTTTAACTTCGTGGCATGAAGCAGCCTGCTTTCATCGGCATAAGCGACCCGTCAAAATAAAAGCCTTTTACACGCGACTGCAGTTTGATTTAATTTTCCTGCCACATCACAGGACCTGCAATGTAACTATTACGCACACAGACACTGAGATTTATTTATTTATTTATCGTTATTTAACCAGGTAAGTCCCGTTGAGGTCGCAGATTGGGCCTGAAGGCAATCTATTGCACATGTTTTTAGGGGTGGGGGAAACCGGAGTACCTGGAGAAAACCCACACAAGCACGAGGAGAACATGCAAACTTCGCACAGAAAGACTCCAGGTCCGAACTGGGGATCGAACCCAGGACCTACTTGCTGTGAGGCGTCGGTGCTAACCACTGAGCCATCGTGCCTGATGACGATGCTCAGAGGATATATTGTGCAGCTCTGGTTCAACAAAAATATTATTTGGCTTTTCAGCACTTTTTGGAAGAGGGTTCTARAGCTTRGAGATGCWACAAGTAGTTTTTTGGAATTCCTAGAAAGAGTTATGTTCTGAATTAGATCAAGTACGTACTGCKCCTTGTTGGCTGAAGGCATTTGGTTCCCCCATGGCTTTCTGCAGGGAATACAGAGCTGACATGAAGCTTTCGCTCAGCTCCAATCTACACAGACAACAAGCAAAAACAACAACAGTCAGTCACATAGATTTAATCCTCACGAGCAGACTGGTAGCTGTGAGTTTATTTACCGAACTTGTTTGGAAGTTGCATCTGCTGGCTTGGACTCTGGCTGACAGGAGGGGGCAGGTGTGTCTTGTTTGGCCGTTTCAGAGGTAACAGAGGGTTTAATGGAGTTCTGAGCAGGTGTGGACTCGGTGTTTGGTGATGTGGAAGTGATCTCTTGGGTGACGGTGTGCTTTTCTGATAACTGCTCAACAGTTACTTTAGAGGCAGAATCCTCCTCTGGACATGGAGGGGTTGAGGTGGCATCTGAGGCACATTTTTGCACAACAGTGTCTGTCGCTGGTGACGGAGGATCTCTCTCTGACTGTCTGGAGTCKACAGTTGTGGAATGGTTGGGACGGTGCTGTGAGTCTGGACGTTTGGCTGCAGGTTGCTGAGGTACACCGCTGCTTTCTTCTTGGGGCAGGACTGCGTGCTGGTGCTGGATGGAAAGTTCTGGTAGTTTTTCTCTGGCTTCATGATATTCACTGGAGTCACTGCCTTCATCTGAGCTCTCACTGCTGCTGTCATCTGATGAGCTGGACTCATAACTGTAAAACAATTACTCCTTTTAARCATTTCATGCAATCAGAACATGCAAGAYTAGACAATATTGCATGAGATAATGTTATTTTCAAGGTTAGTCCATGCACTAACCCTCCGTTGACTCCAATGAACTGCAGGTTTTTCTTTGTCGTGGGAGAGCCTGGTTCACCTTCTGCTTTCCGCTTCATAATTGATCTTAATGAGGACTGAGGAGACGAGGCTAAAAAAAGAACACCATTAATCAAACACCAAGTGGAAAACCTGGGCTGTGTAGAACAAAAAATAAATAAAAACATAATAATAATAATAATAATAATAATAATAATAATAATAAATGCCAGATCTTTGTATATAAGGAGAATGATAAAATCTAGCATTCTGAAGAAATATGGAGAAGCATAAGTAAAGAAGGGGCAGATATGATAAGATTTATTCTTCTTCTGCTGCCTTTTATTTTTTTATTTTATTTTGATTGCATGTTTTTTGTTCTTTGTTCTGTGTATTGTTACAAATAAAATGAATACATTTCTAAATAAATAAATAAATAAAATAGGACACTGGTGGAGAACTCAGTCCACGTACCTGCTTGTGGCTGTCTGTGCTCGCTGGCTGTTTGTGTCTCTTCTTTGGAATGCACCGGACCGATCTGATTACCAGATGCTACAACAATGGCAGGATTGGCAACCGGCACCGAGGTWGACAACCCGCTTTTCAGGACGTCGCGTACCTGCTTGGAGCTGACTGCRATCGGCAACTCGACTGGACCTTCTAAGAGTTGGGAAAAAACGAAACTTTTACAAAGAAATGCAGTAAAATAGACACTGTGGTGAAAATAAAATCTGCTGAAATACAATAAACTTAGTTTTCCATGCTAAAGTTGGTGGTAGTTTTGTATTAGATTCAACATATTTCTTTGATTTTGCACATTTTGTTTTAATCTCTAATACTCAACAGAAACGATGCTTTATATGTTTTACAAAATGTTTTAATGTTTGGATAAAGATTGTGTTTAAACAAGTAACTGTGCATTTTGTCCTACTTCACCAGCAAAGTTCTGACCTTCATTTTGTCCTTTGTGGGGTCCCTCCGTTACTCCCCCCGCTGGTTGAGGTGAGGGGGAGCTGCAGCTCTCTGCTTGGAGCAGCGTGCCCACCTCCACCACTGTGGGTTTCTCCAGCGTGTACACCTGGACCCCCACAGTCCTGTGCTGCCTCTGATGTGGCTGCTGCGTGAAGCTGACCAGAGTGTGCAGGCTGCTGCCCTGTGGCTCCTGCCACCCCACGCTGGTTGCTATTACTGGATGCTCTGCCTGAGGGCCCGTTTGGGCCACTGAGCCCTGCCGCTGCGCAGCCTGCAGCTCCTGCATTGTCCTCTTCAACTTGCCCTCGAGCTGACCCACTTGATCTTTGAGAGTCTCTGTTTCAGACAGTAGACCCAGATCTTCCTCCCGAACCCAGACCCCCACGTCATGGCTGCCCCTACAGTCCTCTGGTCCCACTCCAACGGTGCGTACTTCCCTCTTTGCATCGGGTCGGGCTCCACCRACGATCACTGTGTCCTCAATCTCGCAGCCCGAGTCTTGCTTGGAGGCTTCAGCTATGCTCGGAGACACGGGCTCGGCTGTTTTGTTGCTAATTTTAACTCCAGTGCTTACATCTTCTTCAGGAATGTCGATGTAGAGCTCCCCACGGGTGCGACCTCGGCTGAAACCCAGAGTGTGGCCAAGAAACTTCTGGCTCTTTAGCTGGACGCTGAGCTGCCGTTTCTCCTCCTGCAGCACAGAGATTTTCACCTGCAGCACAGGGATGGTCTTCACCTGCTCCTCAAGCTCCTTTATCTTCCTGAGAGCCGCCGCCATCTGCTCTCTGACGTGCTGCAAGTGGGCGGGAGTYGGAGTCACGGGCGTGGAGAGGCCAGAGCTGATGGGAGTAAAGGACCCCCCTCCACCCTGAGCCCGGTTGAAGCTGTGCGYGCTGCTGATGGAGGTGTTGGAGCCCACTACACTGCTGTGCATGCTGCCTAGGTTGGAGAATCGCCGCCCTTCTTTCTCTTCCTCCAGCTTCCTGCGAGCGTCTAAAAGGGTTTTCTCCACCCGCGCCGTGCTAAAACTGGGCCTCTGTGACGTGTGGTAGCCCGGGGCGCAGTAAGAGTATGAGGAATGCCGGCTGTCCACGCTGGCGTTAGAGCACAGAGACTCTGTGGAGGTCCACCAGGAGCCGGCGTAGCCGTATCCACGGGGCAGCGAGCCGTAGCGTGGGCGACGYTGCACAGGCACCTTCTTGATTGTGTTCCCCTTTTCTATGTCGTTGACATATTTGAGGAAGTCCAGGTCCAGACGGTAGCCATAGGGGGTCTCCACTGAGTAGGGCGCCTCCTGCTCTTTGGTGTGCATGGACGGAGGAGCAGGCGGGTTGAGTTTCCCTGCGGGGGAAGGAAATCAACTTTAAACAAACGGAAATCAGTGTCTAATCGTTGGTTCAGACTTCAGAAAACAGCAGAATCTCTTGGTTTCTACGTATTTGTGTGTGTGTTCTGAAACATTTACCAAATGAAGCACTAAATGGATTGTAGTTCAGTCTATGAGGTCTTCTTTTAATATCAACTGTGCGTCAGAGTAAACCTTAACCAAACTGATCTATTATCTATATGCATTCTACTGACTAAATGTAATAAAATGGCTGATTAAGACTATAAATTCTGACAGTATAAATAGAAAAAAACATCAACTTAAACATTTTCCAGTAGTAAAAATAAGTTTTTATTCCAAAAATGAGATGCTCCATTTTTTATTAGTTTATTTTCTGTCACGTTTGTTTCTTGGATGCCATTTATATTTGTACATATGTTTTTTTAAACATCCATAATAATATAATCCTGAGCCAACCTGCTCCTTTGTTTCCATGATTTGTTCAGACTACTTGTTTTGTTTTATGTTGACTTTATAATTATTATTGTGAGTACGGTAAATTAAACACAAGTGGTACCTGGGAAACCGGGGTCCATGTGCAACACTTGAGCCATGATGAGCCTGTGGCTGCCTCTGCGTCACACTAATCCTCCCACCTGTTGGAAAACATGGGTTTAAAATAAAAATAAGCATGAAACATTCATAAAAACTCATTTTCTTTCACCAGGACCAAGTTAAGGCCTGACATCATCTATAGTACGTCAATACAACTAGTGAGTCATCTGCATTCTGTATCATATCAGATTAAGCCTAAAAATTCTTACATTTTTTATATTGTTATTTTTTACTGTACAATGATTTGGGACAAATTTACTTTTTTCTTTTACTAACCCCCCGTTCTGTATTTTTACCCACTCATTTTCTGAAGCGTAGCAGCTTGTGTGTCTGCTTCAGTTCGCAGCAGAGAAAGAGAGTTGCAGGGGAAAGTTTCCTGGCAGCTGATTCCAGGACAGAGGTTTGCCAGTTGCAGCCTTATTAGGAATCATCCGTGCACGCTTACTTCACTTCTCAATTTAAAGTTTGCAGACAGTCTCTGCTCCCTCTCCCCCAATCGCTTTTTTAAAAATATCTTCCACTTCAGTTATTTTTCTTCTAGCCCTGATTTTTTTTACGGTTTTCCTTTTTAAATCAGCTGATAATCAGGAGTTGTTTTGTTTTTATCCCATCAGCTTGTTKTCTAATCCATTACAAACAACATAGTGATAAAATATCAACTTTATAGGATTTATTTCAAAGTAATGCATTAAAAACAAACAAAATTGACTTTTTTCCACAGAAAGCAACATGTTGGCAGCAACAGCATGAATCCCTTTTTTCCCCAGTTGCTCAGAGTTTGTGTCTTCTTGGAAAAGATTAACTTTCTAGGTCACTGCTTTGTGGGAACAGGGGATGTAATGTTTAAGCCATCAACAGCATAGGTTGATTATAATTATAATACTATAGCTTTAAAAGGAGCTGGGATCACAAGTTCAAGTTAAAAGCGGCTTTTTCTTAAAGCATATGTAATCTGATTGAGTATGAGGCCATTTCTTGTTTCTTCTTCTCCCCCCGTCTCTGTCTTGTGACCATAACTGGTGCTTGCTCRTTTGTGAAAAGTAGGGCACTTGGAAACACTGACTAAACTGATTTGGTATTTTTTGAAGTGCTGCTGTGTTCAGTTCAATTTCTCTGAGTGAAAACTCTTATCTGTACTCTTTCATCGCCTTTCTGTAACAAGGTGACCACACACTACAGAGCTGTGAAAACCCTACGTGTTCACACACAGTATTCCCATTGAACGAGGACATTTAAAGCCCTGCCCAACCCATCCATCAAATGCAGGGAAGGATCACATAGTTAGATAGGGCATGAGGAATTTATTCAACGGCCCAGATATAAACTATTACTCAACCTTACATACAGACGCAAATATATTTGTTGTTACTCTTTTATTAAATAAGAAAAACCCACAGAGGTCAGCAAATTAGCTTAAAATTGACAAATGTTTAAAAAAATGAGCAAAAATCAAATAATTTGGAAAAGGAAGTTTTGAACTCTGAGGCACCTGTCGACAGGTGCCGATTAGAGGGGATTATAAATTAATTGATTGCAGTGTTTGACTCAAAAAGTTGTGCAGCAAATTTTTAATTTAAAAAGGACCTTCTTGGTTGAGGCAAATTTCATTATACTGAAAAAATACCTTGTGTGATTTACTTGATAAAATCCTCATTAGTTTTAAATTAAAGTTGTATTTATAGTAATTTCCTTACATAAATGACTTGTAATTCTAAATTAACTGAGTAACAATTACTTAGTAAATTGATAACTTAGGCTGTGTCCAAAACGGTGGGCCGGGTCCTCCGAAGGCCAAACTCGTCGGCCGCATACGTCACAGCGCCGCGACGAAGGCCGTCCTAAACTGAAGACTCCTCCGATGCAGCCGACAAATGTGTCTTTCCTTTGGCCCGAATCAAAGGACTGGTCCAATGGATCCTTCCCGGCCCACCATATCCCACAATGCATTGCGGGCCGACCAGAAGTTTTTATATGCTAGTATGCCGTTTTGGACACAGCCTACATTGTAGAGAAATTCTTGAATCTCCTGTGGTAGCCATGTGCTGCCTAAACACTTGCTGGTACAAAGCTCCTCCCTGGAGCTCAGTCCCCAGCTGAGCTCCCGCCCTCGATGTATTGTTGTGAAGACGTGCTGAAGTGGGAGTGTCGGAAATGGTAGGAGGTTCTTAAAGAGACAGGCCAATTTCAAAGCTATAATGCAAAGTCTAATTTATTTTTGATATATATATAGCATTTTTATTACAACTGAAGTTAACAGGTACTTGATTGTGGTATATAATTCAATTGTATGCCTGGAAAATACACAATACCCCCCACCCCCACAAATAATGACAAGTAAATCATAGCTGATACTACAGCAGCTATGATTTAATGTGCTAGTGTTACGAGGATTTTATCTAGTAAATCCTACAAGTTTTTTTCAGTGTAATCTATTTTTTTAACAAAGCAGTGTCTGATTTTCATTAGTTGGTTTTCAGTCAGTGTTTTAATATTACTTACCAGTTTCAAGTTATTTCAGTGACCATTGTGGGGTTTTTGTTTCTTTAATGTAAGGGTACAARCAAATTTATCCACATCTGTAAATACTACAAACTACAGCAGGCTGTAGAGTAAAAAAAGATGGATAGTTGATTTTAAATATCATAGTGAAACATCAAAAGTTAAAAGGAATTTTGGCTCCCAGCCATCACCCTTCAGTCTGAGTGTCTGTTTGTCTTCAGTGTTAAATGTCAAACTGATTACGTGTTGCATGTTGTAGTGCGGCGTCGGTATGGCTAAATGTGTGAGAAAGTGACACAGAGGAGTGTTTGGAAGTGCCACAGTGTGTGTGACAGAGAAGCTGAGTGTGAGAGTTTGTGGGCAGGAGGGCGGAGGACAGAAAGAGGACAGTTGATGAGATATAATTAGAGTCGGTAGTTTAGTAACCAAACATCCTATCCAGACACAAAGGCTGCTGTCCACTCAGTTTCTYTCGACTCCACAAAGTGTTTTTTTTCTCCTCCTTCCCCTTCAATTCACATCTTCACATTCTTATTTGTTTCGGCTTTAAATGTTTTTTTGGAAAGCGCTTTTTCTCCCCCAAAATGCCCACGCCACCCGGCCTTTGCATCTGCCTTTCCATCAGTGGCTAGCTGGATGTTTCAGATGTGTGTACATATTCCCATGAGTGTCTGCTGAGGAGGAGGAGGAGGAGGAGGAGGAGTGTCTGACCTTCTTCCCTCTTTCTTACACAGAGTTCCTTTGAAACGGCACTTGAACAGAAACCAGTGTTCGCCTTTCCCCCTGCAACATACTACCATTGTCCAAACAACTCACTCTGGCCATTTTCAACCAGGACAACCCCCTCAATCCCCACCTTCTACAACTTCATACCAAACTAAAGGAAGCTAGTAGCGCTTGGTCTACTCCCTCCATCTCTGCTATTAAGATTAAGCTGGCCCTCAGGGGGGGGAAGATGCAGGTCATCCAGCACAAATTACATGTCTGGTATGTCCTGTAGGATGTCACATCACGTAGTGGTTTTGTCATTCTATTATACGAATTGTTTTTTTTTTTTATTTACTTACAAGTAAACTCAAGCATTGCATCTTAAGGTTTGAAATCCTGGTTTGATTTACAGCAAGTATAAACATTCTTGCTCTTTGGTGTGTCAGAGGATCGAGACCACCCTCGGGACTCGTTCAGGATGCCTGGATGCGTTTTGAACTCGGCTCTCCGAAGTTTATCAGACTCGCTGCCTCGCCTTATGATTATTGCCATTACAGGGGATTAAAGTCGAGCGTTCCCCAAAACATGTAATTGAAAGCCGAGTATGCCTCGGAGGAATGCATATCGCCTGCCACCTTTCATGTCCGACTTTTAGATCACCTCATGCTGAGAAATGATGACGTCGGAGTCATTTTGGTCAACCTTGAAATGAACATTTTGTGCAATTTGGTGCAGTTTCTTGAAATGTCTCAGCTACTACCACATCAAATTTAGACAATTTAATTCAAATTTAGTACAATTGACTCTTTTTTGCCTAAGGTTAGCTGCGATTYTCATTGTGAATCGGACAGACTGTTGACAGGCAATAAAAATCCCATTTTCCCATACCAAGGAACGATCTTTACGGAATTTTCTGCTGCCTTTCTGGTTTTGGTGGCGTCTACTTTGCTATAGCTCAGGGATGGTTTGTGACTTAGGAAAAGAGGGCTTTAATTTCTGCTTCATACCAGCTGCTTGCGCTGTGAGGATGGGCTGTCTCCTCCTCAGGCTCCTCGCTCCTCTTTCCTTTTACAGTCAGCACCTGTGGGGAAACAAGGAAGGGAAGCTGAACGTTGGCTGCCACTGCTTCTACTGTAGCAGTTTAAAAGCGAGGAAAACAAAAATAAGGGCACTATCTGGACTTAGTCATCATGAGGCGTGCATTAAATGCCATTAAAAGGTGAGCGGAAGTGTTGACACAGGACATAAAACAGGCTTATTTTGACAGGTTACAAAATAGTGGCCCCCCATGAGACTTTAAACACAAGCTGCAAAGCCAGAAAAAGCGTTCCAAAACATTCCGGTGGTTTCGACCAAGGAGGCGGATGTGAAGAATGTACCCTCATGAGATGCCACTCACTCCACCTCATGGATGATCCATGTTTGCGTTCTCCTCTCCCGGCTCTCTGGAACTCTTCCCCGCCACCCTGCTCCTCCCTCCGGCTCAGGGCGCTATAATCAATTCAAGGCCAGGAGTGGGAGTCGCCCTCCCACGTGATTGGGCAATGCCCGCTGTATTCTTGTGACTTAACGCTCCCAAATCCCGTGGCACAGCAACATTACCCTCCCGTTTGGTGGGAAAAGTGATCACTGGTTTGAAAGCATTCCCTCCTTTAACTGCCGGTGACAGCGTCTGCTAAGTCTCAGACTTCGGCGGCTCAGACCCAGAAAACCCGAGGTCAACTTTTCTTTCTTGCCTGAAATATTCTCGGTCACGTGTGTGACCTTTGCCTAGTATCATAACAGGACCTGTTGTTGCCCAGTCCATTGTTTAATAGTGTTGTCAGCCAGTGCCACTGAGGGTGGAGGGGGGCAGATCTTCGACAAAGAGCCATTCATCCAGGCCCCGGCTCCACAGCTGGTTCTAATAGAAAGCAAAGGAGGGGCATCTCAGAGACAGGGAGGCTGAGAGGAACACAAAGCGGACGAGTGTGCGGCGAAGAAATCGGCCTCAAAACAAACAAACATTTAATGAAGTGCTGTTGTGAACCCGCACGCTGAACGAAAGTGGAAATAAAACAAGCAGAATCTGAACCGCTGTCAAGCTGAACCGGGGATCCCCATCTGTAGAAACTGGTTATTTGTGGCTCTGTTTTGGAAAGATCCTGAAAAAAAAACTACATCCCAAACTGAACAGAAACCTATTTATTACATAAATTTAAGAAATAATGTTATTCCCAAACTACAGGATGGAATGATATAAATTCTATGCAGATATTTCACTTTATAACCCCTGCATTGGCACAGATACCAAATAGTTGAGTAAGGAAAATACTAAAGGATACAGAGGAGCCTAACCAAACTCCCATGGCCTCCCACACCACACATGAAAACACACAGATCCTCCAACACGTCAACACTGTCTGAGGCCTGGAGACTCCCACAGACCAACAAACACAGCTGTACCTATTAAATTGATTTATTTAGTTAAGGGCGCAAATTATATCAGATGTAGCTGTTTTTAATTTTATTTGGATAAAACATCAGCCACAGCCTGCTGAGAAAAAAAAAATCACATTTTTCAAATGGTCAAAAGGTCTCACATCAGTTTATGTGCCGGCGTCAGCGAGCTCATTTTTGGTTGCTAAACTGAGATAAAGGTTTGAGATGTGCTGAAGAAAGGGTTACAGGAAGGGGATTTTCATCTCTGGGCTCCCCAAGGACACAAAAATAAACCAGTCACTTCCTCCCAGCCCAGGAGAAAGAGTAACAAGGAGGGAAGCACAAACGAGAAGAGAGAGAAACAAAAAAAAAGGGGAGCGGGAGAGCAGAGGGGGGACGTTAAACAGTGCAACATGTGAGGGAAGGTGGGAGAGAACGTATGGGGATGTGAAGGGGGAAAAATGGGAGGGGAAAGAAAAAACTTAATGCTACTTTAGATGGAAACTTCCAAAATGAGAAGAACTTGTCAGGTTTGAGATTTRGACTCCAGCAACTCCTGCTGCTGAGGTGTGTTTTAGATGAAGAGAATTAAAACATCCTAAAAAGACTGCAAAGAAGTAAATAAAGCACATASCCTTAAAAGGCTCCACACTGCAGACTGCATCATTTGTTTATTTTAAACCTCTAAAACAGACTGTTGGTAGAAAAAGCACACAATGTGCAACACATTGAACTAAAAAAAAAAAAAAAGAAAACCTTTGACCACTAAAAAAGCCTGAGTATAGATGTTCACCAGACTTAAAAGTGACTGAAAAGGACATAGATGCAGTTTAAGAGATTTCTTCGTTTTCGTCAAATCTCTGCTGCTTCTGGGCTTAAACATCCTGCTACCCTTAGGTCAAAATGACCCGTGAGGCCTGAGTTTCAGGGAGAGAGGRTGGCTAAAGTAACAGAATAGAGTTAGTCTTACTTGACAGTAAAGGTCCTTAACTGTACTAAAGCCAGATGATCTCATATTAACGTGGTATTAGTCTGTTTTAGTGCATTCTAAAGGGACGTGTGGTTTTTGACTAATGTGGTCTTTAAATTCAGGACAGTGAAATTATAACCCAATGGGATGCTCATGACTGTCTGCCCTCCTGAAAAAAAAAGAAAGTCCTGTTTTTTACATTAAAGAGGGATGGTGTAGAAGAGCCGACTGGGCTTCAGCCGTCTGGTGGTAGCACGAGTCAAGCCAAAAGGAGGGGCTGGTCGGCTCACATTACTCCTGGAACAGGAGCAGAGTAAATACCCGCCAGTCTGCTATTGGTCATTGTGCTGACCTCCAACAGGAAACTGAGCAAGGGTGGGGCTGAGCGGCAAGGAGCAGCACCGGAAAAAAGATACACACCAAAAGAAAAATGCATTTGGGAGTAAATTCCTGAGCAGCTGTGGAGGTGGGGATTAGGGCCGACGCAGAGCAGAGAGGCAGCGTCTGGAGGAGAAGAGAAGACAAGAGGACGTCCAAAACAGCAGCRAGACGAAGCCAGAGACCAGTCAGAGCAAAGCTGGGGTTTAAAGATCCCATCAGCGTGCGTCGTGGTGCCGAGCAGAAGACGTAAACTTCCTGCAGTGAAGCCATTAAGTGGTTTCTGCTCAAGGATCGCATCAATTACTTCCTGATTTGAAAAGATTTGCCAATGAAGACACTCAGAACATGAAAACAAMAAGCGAGGGCAGGAAAATATCCACACGCTCACTGAGCGGACAGAACGACCCATCTGGCTTCTYTAAGTCATTAATGCATTAAAAGAGATCACAGATAATTCAGGAAGATAATCAGCTACTATGTATAAGATTAACAAAAACAGATCTACCCATATGCTCACTATAAACCTCACCGCACTAGTTTCATTAAGAGCAGTAGCCGTATTAACTTACTGTCTTTTCTGCATCAGCATTCATCAATACTGACTTATCCTAAGCTTAGAAACTAATCAGCTCATGCACAAGAACATCTTATCAAACAGCTTGAAGAACTTCTAAAGTGACAACATGAATAATTCAGTTAGGCTTAAAAAGAGTCAAATTTAACTTTAGTTAAAGTAGCTTATTTCAATTATTCTGATCCGATTCGACTCATTTACTCATCTGAACGTGAATGTTTTCAAGACAAACTCATTTAATTATTTGCAGGATCAGCAGTTTAGAATAAAAGCAAATGGAAAAATGGTAATTCTGTTTTTGCCCATGTATAACATTTTACTGTAAAACTTAAAGAAATTAATCATAAAATGATCAACTTTTGGAGTCAATTCAATTCAAAATGGCCACAACATATTAGGAAATATAAAAATAGTTATAACTGAATGATTTTTTACAAATATAGAGCTAAGATTCAGGATTCAGTGTAGTAGTAGCTGCGTGTCATCTGTAATTTGTGTTCACAAACTCCGCTAACGGTCCGTAACTTTACGTAAAATTTCGTAAACTTTCATAAAATTTCATAAGCGGCGTGCGGATGACTATATTATTTTTTGAAGCCAGAGGAAGACACAAAGAACAAATTTGAATAGAGGAGGTGGGAAGCGATTTTATAGCTTCAGCAGCTGTTGTGTTTTTTTTAAACATTCGTAAATTTCACTGTGTGTGTGTGTGTGTGTGTGTGTGGGAGGGGCTAAGTGTTGATGCCCTCTTCCAAAATCCTACCTAAAAGCCAGTCCGCAACATTTACTCTCAGCACTAGACATTTGCTTAAAACTTCGGCATTAACTGTTTATTAATGTGAAAGTTATGATTTTTCCTTCAGGGACTGCTTTAATTTGTTTGTGTTATTTCTCTAGTTTGTTTTAAAGCTGATAAAAATTAATTTAGAGTGAAGTTTCTAACAGGTTGTGGGTTTTTATGGGTCAAACACTGAACGTATGATCAAACCCAACCTGACTGTCTGGATATAAACTTAAAAAAAGGTCAATTAGCCACATTTTACACATCTTACGCTTCTTTATAGTGACGGAACATAAACAACAATGATGATGTGTGTTGTTTAAGTTAATAAGTTATCCCATAAAACTGTTCAGAGATGCTAATCTGTAATGAACCGCAGGACAGTGTGACAGACTATATTATAGGTCCAGGGTGTAATTTCATTAGTCTCACTAAAGCATTTAAAAGCCCAGCGTGTGGCCATGCTGTGCAAATGGGGTTTATGGCTCTGCATTCCAACACAGCACCCCTGGGTCCGAACCCTGTAACGAGACAATCACATTCCAGCTTGGACAAAACAAAAAAAGATGAAAATAACTCAAAAAAGGAACAAAGATSCTGAGAACTCAATTGTCACGATTATTGCCGTAGTTCTCACCAGCTCTCCTGGAGATGCGTTATTTTGCCGACAACGAAACCTTGTTTTTTATGAGTTAAACTGTAAAATATTTGTTTTAACAAATGCACATTTAACTGAACAGAAATATGAGGACTGTGGGGAAGCCTGCTCAGCCCGAGTGCCACACAGCTGCTACAAGCTACTCCCTGTTAGGTGATTTAATACATCCAGAAAGTCATTATACAACAGCAGGACAGTGGCGTGTTGTGTGATGTAGTGTAACAGGCTGATGACTACACCCCCACATCCTGCCAAGTTCTGCATGTCCTTCATAACAACAGCATCTGACGTGTTTTCTGGCAAACCCATATAATGCACCACAGAGTCTGCATCACGAACCATCACGTCTCGTACAAAGATGGGTTGTTAGTGTTCTCAAGGAACCGCATTAAGCCACAAATAAGTAGTTTCACTTGTGTCATTAGGCATTTTTAAGGGTGTTTGTCTGTTAGCAAAATATCTCATGAACGACACATTTCAATGAAACTCTCAGAAAGTAATTATTGGATGCATCTACAGCGCAGGCCATCATAGCTTATCAGCTTATCACAGAGCCTTGATGTCCTTTTCAGGGGTGCCACCGAGCCATTGGTTCAGATATGTTGACGACACCTGGGTTCAAATTAAAGCCCAGGAAGTCCAACATTTCACTGATCACATCAACTCTGTGGATGAATATATTAAGTTCACATGAGAGGATGTAAAAAAATGGCAGGTTGGCGTTCCTGGATTGC